GAATGGATGAGAGTTAGTTGTGTGACATATGTTGTCTTAGTATACAAGAAAAACCGACGGTTCAAAGATATCACATCTACTGATTGGTGAGTATAGTCGATATATGGAATTTTTAGTGGTGTGAATGAAAATGAAAGGGGAAAGATCCAAGAGAGTCTCTTGAAGTACCATGTTGGTAAGATGTGGGAAGACATGTCCTCGAATTCGATCGATTTGTTGTAAGATGTGGGTAATCGATTAAATGGGTTTGTGTAATCAACCAGACCAAACTGAATCGATGTGGCGATTGAAATAACCAAATCGGTCCAACTACCACGGGTCGAACTGATGCAATGGTTCATTATTTTAAAATGAACCATTGCAATGGTTGGGGTGTAAGCATCCATATGCAAAGTTGCCTCTCTTCGTAATAAGCACCCCTTCATTCTCTATAAATAAATACCGACCCCTCTGGTTTTAACATGAATTTTCTGGTACTGAAACTCTGCCAAAAACAAAGAATGATTTTTCTGCATTGTTTTCAGAAAAGGGGAAAAAAGTCAAGTGTGGTTCTCGCCGGTTCGCTGCGTTTGATGATTTCCGGGGTTTGAGGTACCGCTACGCCGGAAAAGGTACGTCCTTTCTATCATGGGAAGAATCATTCCATCACCTTAGGTACTAGGGGGAATAAGATTCCTTAAGGAGAGACATTGAATAATGTCTCTACTTAATATTATGGGTTTGCTTGTGTTGCAAGAAAATAGTATATGTGGGCAATTTCCACAACAAAATATATCCTTTTATCAACATAAAAGTATGAGTTTGTTATATTTGAGTCATGTCTGTGTTAGGATTCGTATTAACTTAGAAGTCAAGCTATAGCATGGGATCATGGAGGCTAGTCGTGTTAGCTTCTTTATAGGAGTTAAGCGGTTGAATTAATTTGTTAGTGCAAAGGCGAGACCAAAAAGTTTCAAATATGTATTTATAATTCATTATCAATAATATCGTGATTGTCCTGTTTGAATCATAAGAAACTACGACTAAATAGATTTAAGGGTTAATATATTTGTATGGTCTGAACTTTGATAAAAATAAATATCATGTCCAATCTTTTTGATCTATAATATCCTGGCCCAAACTATACATAAAAATAACTAAATTGACCAAATCCGATGTTTGACCGTTAACTTGGACAGTCAAACATGTTGACTAACGGTCAACGCGCCACATCATCATCCAGTCAGCACAGAACACTTAAAAAATTGATTTTTTCCACCTATTACCATTTATCTCTTTTATTGTTTTTTCTTTTAAAATTTATTTTTAACTTAATTAAAATAATGAGATTATGTGTCTTTTTTGAAATTTTCAACATTTTTTATGCTGACTGGGCGGTGATGTGGCGCGTTGACCGTTAGTCAACACATTTGACCGTCCAAGTTAACGGTCAAACGTCGGTTTTGGCCAATTTAGTTATTTTGATGTATAGTTTGAGCTAGAATGGTATAGATCAAAAAGTTTAACAAGGATGTTTATTTTGGTCAAAATTCAGGCCATACAAATTAAAGAAAAGTAAAATAACACATATAAAATCGTGAGACTTAGAACACATACACCAGTGGCGGGTCCAGGAATTCTACGTAGGGGTGTCCTCTATAAAAAATTAAATTAAATATTAGTATTAAATTATATGGTGTTGTATTCGGTGCACCCACTTTTTCGGGTGCACTCAGTGCACCCGCCTCATAATTGTCATTCTGACCATGCGATTCATGTCAAAACGGTATCAATTGTTGCTTGTGATATTATGAATAAGAAGCACATGAATTTGAAAAAAAATTATTCAAAATTTACTTTAATTCGAAGGATTTAGGATTTAGGGATTTAGGGTTAGGGTTTAGGTTTACAATTTGGGATTTTGGGTTGGGATTCAAAATTGAAGGTTAAGGGGTTAGGGTAATGGATTGATTTGTTATGATTCTATGTCATATCATCATATTATATCGAGAGTACTAATTAAAGTTCAAAATTTGATGTATTATGGACGCTTTTAGAGTTGGGTGCATTGAGTGCACCCAAAAAAGTGAGTGCACCGAAGTAGCCACCTAAATTATATAATTATTAAAGATGAAAATATCTAACTAATAAAAGTTTCTTTAAAATTTCAGACGTGTTTCATCAAATGATAAAATGCATTCGGTGTTTATACTGCTCAACAAATATCTCTCTACATATCTTACTAGACAAGGATATCCTGTAATTGAGTTTAATCATTAGGTTTTGAAAATAATTTGAGATAAGAATAACATTTTACTATTATATTTGGATCTAAAACACAATAACAAATGAGTTGTAGCGTAATTGAAAATATATTAACTAATAGTGATAGTGTCCCAAATTTAAATCACATAAACTACTACTTAAATATTATTTATACCAATACGCAAACTACTACGGGAGATTGGATAATCATTTTCCCAAATTTTAAAGGTGTCCCACACTTCCAGTTAAACATTTTTTTCCCATACGCAAATTACTATCGTAGGTTGAATAATCGTGTTTCCAAATTTTAGGGGTGTTCCGGGACACTCCTAACCATGCATGTATCCGCCACTGACATACACCACCTTCATAATATTGTTAAGATACGATTGGTTTCATATATACATATGTCACACAATTATCCAATTGGTGACAAATTTATAATTGTCTTTGTTCTTGTTCTGCATGCTCGACTAGACTTTATTAATTAATTAAACCGGTCGAGAAGTCCCAAGTCCACATAGACGAGATCAAACTATGCAATTATTTCAAAAAATATAACTATAATAATGGGTTGACTCTTTCGCCTTTGGGGAAGTCGTCAACTATGGAACTTCCCATTTGTCACTACCTAAAATGTAAATGATCCATAGGTGAATAATGGCCAGATGACCTAATGACAAAGTTTGTCAACTTCGTAATACCAATACGACGTTGGAGAGGCGATTCAGCATTTTGGCTGTAATTCTCTCTCTACACAAAAACAAAAGAAAATTCCCCGTCAAATACAAAGAGAAAACGAAAACAGCCAAATGCAATGTGTTTTTAGTAAAATGGAGAAACAAAATGTACTATACTAATTTTATCGTATTCGTGATAAATTTAGGTTATGATATATAGTTTTTGTAAATCTTGAATTAATGAAATGTTGATTTAGGGAATTAGAACCTAAGTTTTACTCATTATAACTTACGATATAGTACCATGTTTCAAACTCCTGAAAAATCACGGCTTATATAACCTTTGTCTGCGGATTTTGATATAAGGGAACAAATTACTAGCTAGCTACGAAGTTATACAGAAGGAAAGGAACAAATATTACTATATTTTATTTCTCTTGTTCTCTGAATGAAGAATAATACAAATGTAGGTGTTACAACTGTAGAACTAATTATGGACCAAATTGAAGATAGCTCATTTGTGTGCATAATAATTGGCCTATGTAAGGTGTTGTAATTACTACATATTAAACAAAACTCCAAGGTAGGGTTTAGTATAATACTATTATTTCCCGTTTTTGTTTTTACATGTGAAAATATGGTTAGTTCTGTTTTTTAGTGGCAAGATGAGTTGGCAATGCAGCAGAAAGTAGTAGTATTTTTATACCTCTGATTATTGCAAATTAAGAAACATTCCCTATACTATTCTTCTTGCACAAATGCACCCTCTGTCATAAAAAGAAAGGAACGTACATTTTCATACACAATTTCGTCAGTTGCTATTAAAGGAGAAAATATGACCAAATTGCTTCTCACTTTTTAAAAATGCTACTAACCATAAATATCAATTACAAACTTTGTTGCATACAATATGCACCAATAAGTCAGTTGTAGAAAATTTTTGTACTTAAATAATGGTTTAACTTTTTTAAACCGATAAATTTTATACTAATTTGATCTCTAATAAATAGATTTTCTTATTGGACCACAAATACAATACCATTGATTTTACGAGCACTCCGTCAACTCCACCGAACGAGGAGAGGATATATACTTTTTGTAGCTAAATCCAAGTGAAAGTCGAAGGGGTTGACAACTCCTAATTCATTAATTAAATAAATTAACATAAAACAAAATTTTATCGTTAATAACGCTTTTTAGCTTCGTCTGACTCTGATTATCACCACCTGAGTCGGCATTATTGGAAAAGCAAACGCGGCCTAATTGGCTTTGCGCGCTAAGAAAGTAAAACCCGAATATTTTTCTTCCTTTCTGCCGTCTCTCTCGATTTCACTCTCCTTTTCCTTTTCCTTTTCCTTTTCCACAGCTTCTTCCAAATTCCCCCAATTTAATTTCCCACTTTCTTTGGCCATAAATCATAATCTAGACTCGGACCTCGGAAGAAGTCGCAAAATTGACTCCTCACCTTCCCCCACTCCCCAACTACTTCTTACTGCTTCACTCTTTACTGCTCCCCACTCTGCGACGACGACGACGAGTCTCGCTGCTTCGAGCTTCTTACGGCGAAAAGAAAAAGAAAGGAAGGGACAATTACCTAAGCAAGTCCCCCAAAGTCACCCGTCCTTTCCGAGAAACCCAGCTGAGGCTGTCTACAAAGAAAGTGGTGGGTTTACTTTCTTTTTTTCCTACTTCCATCGTGCGGCATTCTTGGCGGGCGGAGCTGCGGATTCTGGAGTTCCCCTTTCGTGGGGTTTTTTCCTTTTTGCTGGTTGAGCTCGGGAGAAGCGGTTCTAGGTAGGGGTTTTACTGTGTTGAGCTGTTGTTGGTGGGTTTTCATGAATTTGGGGATTTTGATGTAGGAGGTGGGGATGATCGTGGGCATTTTAGCTGGCTGGAGCTAGGGGGCTTCGGATTGAATTATGGGTTTGATTTTGTTTTTGGAGTAAGATTGTTATCAGTTGGAAGATTCGTTCTTTTATGATCTTGATTAGGGTTCTTGATAGGGTTTGTTTGCTTCTTCAATTTCGTTAAGATGGTAGTTCCAAGCGATCAGAGTTGAATTTTTGTGAGAATCGTAGTGTGCAATTTAATAGTGATGGTTGAGGGCTAGGAGTTGATCTTGATTCCTTGTTATTCTGCTACGATAGAAGGAAATTATTATGGTTTTTAGTTGCTGGGAAAACTAATACTTAGTTTCAGTTGAATGATTGGTGATTCTGTGCCTAATATGGTCTTCCCATTTCACAGGGGGATTTCCTGCCATGGAGCGAGAGAAGGGAAGCCATGAAAGTCCCGGTCACGTAGTTGTTCACATACCGGAACAGGGGAATGTTACTCCTCCAGTATCCTCAACTGTTAGCCCTTTCCATGGTCTGGACTCAACCCATGGAAGATCACCCACTACCGAGGCACCACCTCAACCATGCTCATCGTCTGCTGTCCCATCAAATTCTGCTGCACATTCATCATCTTCGCTCTCCTACTACAAAATTATTGTTTCTATCAAGCTAACATACAATGCCATCCTGATTATCGCCTCCACCATTGTCTTGATCTTGTCGAGACATGAACGTCCATCCAACCCACTGTTCTCTTGGATTGTCGGTTATATAATCGGGTGTGCTGCTAGTGTTCCGGTGGCTTTCAGGCATTGCTTTCTTCCCCATCCTAGGTAAGCCTTTGGGTGTTCCTTCTTTGATCTAGTTCTTCAACTTTTTGTATCTAGTTTTTCCAGCTCGACTGATAGATTTATGTGATGGCATTGGCAGACTCTGTAGACTGATTGACCAATTTAAGCTAGCACTGGAGCTGTTTTATGCATCGTGGTTCATGGTTGGCAATTACTGGGTCTTCACTGAAGATGCATCTGATGAAGCTCCCGGATTATACAAGTAATTAGCTGCAGCTTTCCATTTGCTCTTGTTTGGGTTATCTGTTTAAGCCAAATCATTTAGATGTTAATCTGTTACATTGGGTGTTTTGTGCAGCCACTGTATCGCACTCATCGTTTTTAGCTACATCAAGTATGTTGGGCCTTTCGTTCTACAGGCAATGGTAGTATGCTGCTGTAGAGGTATTCTGAGTCCAATTGCAGGAGCCCCGACAGAAACCATAGATGCCCTCCCAACCTACAAATTTAAATTGGGGAGTTCTTCTGGGGAACTTGATGGAGGAGCTGAAACCCATGATGGTGGAGTTGTGGGAGCAGGAACCGAGAGGGAGCGAAATCTTTCAGGGGATGATGCTGTAAGTTCTTCTGGATTTAGTTCATCTGTTTGAATCATATTTCTATCAAATTGGTCTTTTCACTCATCAGTGTTTCTGGAAAAAATTGTTATTAACAGGCTTGTTGCATTTGCTTGGCGAGTTATGGAGATAATGACGAGCTGAAGGAGCTACCTTGTTCTCATTTGTTCCATGCAAGCTGTGTGGATATATGGCTCAAGCTGAAGGCATTTTGTCCACTCTGCAAATGTAGGGTTGTTAGGGCCACAGGTGCTCCACCTTCAGCTCCAAGCTCAGTTGAGTGAAAATGCCAAGAAACACGAGCCTTTGGAAGTGCACATATACGGATTCTTTGGCTAACGTTGATAGACTTGCTGTGATTTGTTAGTTAGGGGGAACCAACTCATTTTGCAGAAGTCAGCTTAGAGATTGTGCAGATAATCTAGCTTTATCCTTGTAGATAGGGAAGTAGTTCTCCGTAGTGTTATTGCTGAATCTCAAGGCAGAAGAAATATGCATGTGGATTATTTTGGTATTATTCTGAGAGATCAAATGCAACAAGTTAAGATAGATCAGAAGGACAATTCTTCCTCTGCTTCATTCTAAACCCAAGTCCTTAATACTACTAACTGATGAAAGAGCCTAGCTGATTGCTGTTTCAGCTTCAGAAGAACATTGAGGCTGCAAGAGCCATCAACGTCCACCCTCCAAGTATCACTTTCATCTTTTGGCCGTCATTACTGCTGGTAGTAGGAGAAGCCTTTGAATCAGTTTTCGAGCTGGAATCAGTGGATGTAGAAGGCGAAGTAGTTGCAGAGCTCGCTGGGGAATCTTTTGTGGAGCTTGAACTGCCAGTGGAAGAAGAGGAATCTGAATCTCCCGCTTCTTTGAAGATCTTTGCATCTTGCGAGTCTGGAGAGATGTTCAAGAGAGCTGCAAAAAAGCAAGACCATGGTGAACACAAGTTTACAACTAGGCATGTTACGAAAATAACCATTAACTATGGGGAATCGGGCATACTGGGGCAGTTGGAGACTTTGGCATCGATGTTGCACGCAGAAGGCATTTGAAGGGCGAGAGTAGTGTTGATAGGAAGACCCATGGAAGGGTCGGTGCTCTCTTTGATGAGAACACATAAGCATTTCGGTTCTGTGTCCTTCAGCTTCTTGGCATCCTGGCAGCACTCCGGTGTCGGCTTCTTGGCAGTGCCACTCACATACGGAATGCAAGCTGCAAGGTCTGTAAGGTGCTCTGCACACTCAGTCTCGGCGTCCTGCAATGTCGCTGCTGTTGCTGCCGCGATAGCCAATGAGGTCACGGTGAGGCATACCAAGGTCATGTTTCTGTTTTGTGCCATTGTCTTTTTTCTTGCAGCGTGTGTTTAGCTGTACTGGTTAGTGGGGTTTGCTAAAGAAGCTATTATGCCTTTCTCTCTATGTTGAGATGGCCGAGACTCGGCATGGCTATATATATACTATACATGTACAGGGATCACCTCTTGGAATTGTGGTCAATGTTTCAGTGTATTTGCTTGGTTCATAATGTGAAAACCACAAAAAAAAAAAAAAAATGAAATACTGTTATGGAAGAGTAATGAATGAGAAAGAGAAGCTGCTGACAAGCTGTTTCTCATTATTTGGAAATGATGGTGGATGAAGATGAGATGAGGTTAGATTGCATTTAACTCTGGTTTTTTTCTTGAGAATTGGTTCTTTTTCCTTCTCCCAAGGACTGTGTATAATATCTGCAGCAGCATTCAACGCTCGTGGGCTGTCTCGCTTGCACTTGTCGTGCATAAACCACTATCTTAGCATGTTGATTTTCTATGCATAGTTGTGATATGTTGATCGATAGAGTACTTGATTTGTGAATGAGTACACATGCTCTGTCCAATTCATTAGCGTTTGGGTCAGTTTTGAAATGCGTGGAACACTATAGGAAAGAAAGATAGAGAACGAGTGTGTTGTTGAAAAATAGTATGTTATGAATTATGATAACCCGTGGTGGCCAATGAGCTACTGAACAAACCATCCTAACCCTACCCGACTCTATCCATCTTTTTTAGATAAAAGTGATATATGTTTGTTTTCGTTATAAGGTGTTATTTAAGAAGTTCAAATTTGTGACCTTCAAGTTTAAAATTAGTGATAGTACCACTAGAACAAACCCTTATTTATAATTCTAAAAAATAATCTAGTTTAAGAGACTCTCACCAAGCAAATTCCCCACAAGATTGGCCTCCTCGTAAGTATTTGGTGAGATTTCTTATGCTGATTCTGACATTGTGACAGTTTGCAGACATAAGATACCATGTCAAATTGCCAGTGGGATCATTCTGGATCGAATAGAAGAGTTCTTATCACAAAAAGAGTTATTCCATTTCATTAACTAGTTGATTCCTATAACTCAGAATAGTTGAAAGAGATTTAATAATTGAACTTATACCACATACTGTGACAATCTCTCGACAATTATCGCCATTGTCGGGCCGGCGGAGTTGATAATTAGGCTCTGTATATTCTGAGGCCACATAGATGATAGATTAGTCGTCGACCATGCTCTTACTGGTCTGGACAAAACGCACTGCCTTTTATCAACCATGAGGATTCCAATTTTAAACCACTTCCACCACCTGCTATAGAAAGACACACCAACATAACTTTACACAGAAAAAAAAAAAAAAAAAGAGTTCATTAGTCAATACTTCCCCTGCCCTCTCCCAATCTTGTCAAGTACCGCCACCCATACATATGGAGAACGAAACAGCCACCTTCATTACATGGAAAGCTCCAGATTGCAGACATCAATCAGCCTCACAAGCAGATCCATATAGCCAATAATAGAGCACTTCAGTATAGAGGTGGCAATTGGATCGGATTCGTAGATTGGATCCAAATGGATTGGTGGATAGGATCCAAATTGATGTCATTTTAGTCTTGCAAAAGCTATAAGCTATAAGTAAAGAGGAAAGGAATACAATTGTTAGAAACCGAACAGAAAAATTAAGGTTACCGATCTGGCTGAGTCGCGGACTAGGTCGCTCTCTTTAAGACGTTCGCGGCACTGCCTCGTTATTCGCACAACAGACTATCAGCCGGTCACCTCCAGGATAAAACAGCCACTCTTTTGATTTGCTCAGCGGCTTTGTGCGGAAAACCGGAGCTCTTTGAATCTCACTCTCTCTCTCGTGTTTCTGCTCTCTGAGGTGTGTTTAGAGGGTCTGAGCGCCTCCTATTTATAGGAGCAGAAAACCCAGAATATTCCCTCTTGCTTTGGGAATAAGTCATATTTTAATTAGGGAGATAATTACTCCCATAATTAAAATATATTATATTAAGATAATTATTCCTAATTATCTCCATAATATTCCTTTTATTAATTATCCATATTATTTATGTATTATGGGAAAATACTGGATAATTAATTAGGAATTTCATTTATAGCTTTTCAAAGCTATTCATCCCAACAATCCCCCACTTGAATAGTTTTGAAACTATCTCTGAGCATCAACAGTTCCATAAGATCGGACATAAGCTAAGGTATCGCGAAGATTTGAACCTTAGCGTAGTGGTTACACTTCCGATTTCATAAGGGTGACTCGTAGTCTTGAACCCTATCTCAGACAATGTAGCACACCGGATCTTTTCATTGAGTGGTATTCTCTCATAGGCCGTGCGTTTATGGCCATGCACGTTATCCCGGTTTAGTGAACGCTCTAGCAACTTTGTGCCTCCAAAGTTCCATAGGGAGCGGCCCCACTCCCACATTCACATAGGTGAGTCTATCAGAAGTACCCCCAAAGTAAAGTACTTCACTCCACAAAGAGTATAGATCTCATTAAGAGTTTTAACTCAACCTCCAAAGCTTTGGGATTCATGCTTCACTATGCATGAACTTTTCTCAATATTAATCATGACTTGTTATTACCCATTGAACCCGTTTCTTGGGATCTCCAGTCTATCGGGTCGGGTTACCATCACTTGTAATCCATGGTTCGGTAGACATAAGTCTCATACCCTTGGCGGTATTTTGGACTTTCTCTCTAGATAATCCTTTCGTCAAAGGATCAGCTAGATTCTGTTAGGACCTTACAGGATCCACCCTCATTGCTCCTATCGTTAGGAGTTCTCTTACATTACTGTGCTTACGACGAATTTGTCGTCTCTTTTCGTTCTATAACTGGTGCCCTTCTATTGCAATAGCTGCGGTGCTATCACAATTAATCAACTACCGGAGGGATCGGTCTTTCCCATAAGGGAATCTCTAGTAGTGACCCTCTCAATCAACTTTCCCCTTTACTAGCCATTGCTAGTTCTATCATTTCTGATTTCTTAGTTGATTGAGCCAGGATCGTTTACTTCTTAGACTTCCAAGACATAGCTTCTCTATCGATGTTTAAAACACAGCCTTTTGTTGTCTTGGAGTCCTCTATAGGGTATTCTAATCCGCATCACTATACCCTACCAATACAGCAAAACCTTTGATAACAAATACCAAGGTTTTTATGTTCTTTTAAGGTGTCTCATGACCCCTTTCAATAGCATTTCAATGCTTCATACTAGGACAATCAGTAAGCCTGCCAAGACCCCCACTAAATTGGGTCTCATGTTTATCAGCTGCCTGTCGCATGCTGTAAATGCTAGTATATTCTAACTTTCTTACACCGTCTTAGGTGTTCTTTAAATATTTATACTAGCATCATCAAACATGTATGCAGGTGTACATCTTGTATTTTCCTAGTTATTAGGATCTCTAAGCATAGCATTTGTTTCATTCGGATCCTTCACATTCAAAATTCTCAACCATCATGGTTTTTCAATATTGACATCACGAGTCTTTGTACCAAAAATCGACGTGTCATTCATAATGCAAGTGTCATTCTCAAATTTGTACTAAATGCACTTGTCACTTTCACTTTTAAAACCATGAGAGAGAACCAGTTTATTCATGCCATCGTCTTAGAGTCTATTTCAAATCTTACAATGATTTGTCTAACTATAGACTCCCTAAGCATGTTCAAGAATAACAACCCTATAGGTTGTCCCATGTAGATTTTCCTATCTAAATCACCATTCAGAGAAACATGTTTAACAATCCATCTGACGCACAACACTAGCAATCAGAACATACATGGACGTTATTCTACATATGGTGAATAGATAACAAGAAAATTTACAATTTTTCCTTTTCGCTTAAACCTTAGCTATTAGGCGATCCTTATACTCATAAACTAAACCAATAGGTTTCACTTTTCTTTTAAGAATCCATTTATTACACATGACTTCATTGCCAAGAGGTAATTCTCAAAGATGCCAAATCTTGTTCGGTTCCACCGATATATTACCTAAGGTTTGACAACCAAGAGGTAACTCTACAAGATTCTAAGTCTTGCTAGACTCCACAAATTCCATTTCGTTAACAATGGATTCTCCCACAAGTCTACATCTGTATGGAAGTTCAAACTTCTAGCAGACTTGCAGGATCTCTTCTTAGGGTGTAAATAACAAATTCATAACCAAAATCCTTTCGTGATTTATGGTTTATTTGTCTCTTCTGAGTTCATACTCAGATTCATCACCCCCACTAGTTATCCATTATTTCTAATAGTAGGCAGGATATCACCCCCACTATTTCTTAATATAAATGGAATCTATTGGCATCAATGGTTTTCACAACACTAAGTACTCAAGTTATGAGGCTTATGTGTTTTTCTATAGCATATCCAATAAACACACGATCATATGCTCTTCTAGTTATCATGTTACACTAATTCTCTAATGCTACCACATGCATGCCTCATATCGAATGATTAGTGCAACCATAATGCAATTAGGCATTTCAAACCATTTCAAATAACTAGTCAGACAATCAGAGCACTCTAAAGAGCAATAAATTATTTATTGTCTTTTCCATCATTTTTAACCATACCAGAAAAAGTAATATCTTTTGATTATGGGTAATTTAGCTTCGATTCAAAATTTTATATTTATCTCAAGCTTTCAAAAATAATATGAGAATGTGACTTTGGATACTCTAATTCTTCACACAAACCCATGGAAGAATTAATTTTATTTACTTAATCATTCCTTACGTCTGGTGTAGTCAACGACTTTCTAGAGGTAAGGTTCTCTTCCACTTTCCAGGAGCATCAACAATAGTGATGAAGGCAGAACCCAACAACACTTTCTTCTCACGCATCAATAAAGTATGATTGAGCTTAACTCGTTTATCATACAAATGCCATGAGGCGTCATTATCCAACAAACATTCTTTAGAGTTACCATAAAGGTCATCCTCTACTACCAGATCCTCTTCTTTACTCAAGTTAAAGATGATACCATGTTTAACTTGTTCATACACTTTCGTGTCATATGACCTAGTTTCCCGCAATCATAGCAGAGAAAAAATAGCGTCATTCTTAGAGGATTGGCTGGCAATCTTTTGGTTACCAAAAAGGGTACCATTCTATTTGGTATGGATCTGGTTCGGCTTGTTGCTCTCATTCTTGAAAATTTAATGTTTCATAGCAACCTTAGTGGTTCATGTAGTACTGACAACAGTACTTCTTATAATATAGTCACTATGGGCAATTAACCCATTCTATTCCCATATTTTCCCATTCTACTCCACAACAT